ACTCCGCGCACTGTCGTTAACTCGAGCCTTTAGGACCTGCCGGCAGAGCACTACAGAGTTAGTGGCTCTGGGGCAAGAAGGGGGGTCACGGATATAGTTCATAGAGCGGCGCGGGGCGCGGCGGGGGCTGCGGGCGGCGGGGGGCGACGGGGGCGGACGGGGGCGGCGGGGACGCGGGGGCCGGGCGGCGGGGAAGCGGGGACGGAGGCGGGGGCGGGGCGGCGCGCGGGCGGCGAGGGCGGTGGGCGCGCGGGGGGGCGGCGGGGAGCCGGGGCGGCGGGGGCGGGCGGCGGCGGCGGGGCGGCGGGGGGCGCGGCGGGCGCGGGGGCGGCAACCAGGCGGGAGCGCGGGGGCGGCGGGGCGGCGGGGAGCGGCGCGGGGAAGCGGCGGCGGGCGGGGCTGGCGGGGCGAGCCGGGGGCGGCGGGGCGCTGCGGGGGGCGGTGCGGGGGCTGCGGGGGCGGCGCGGGTGCGGACGGGGCGGCGGGGGGCGTGGGGGCGGCGGGGGGCGCGGGGCGGCGGGGCGACGGTGCGCGGGGAGTCGGGGCGTGGGTAACGGGAGCCGGAGGTCCCGGGGGCGGCGGGGGAGAATGGTGTACATTGCCAGAATGGATTAACGAATGTATAATTTGACCGTTGTCGCGAAATGTATTAACAAATTCTACATATTAATGTATTATTCGCCAATCAATTTTGACGCCAAATTCAAAAAGAAAAAAATGGAAATTGATTTTTCATTGCTGTGCATTCGCTGTTCGCAAATGACGCTAATGACCTCCAATCTACACAGTGCTTCGAGTTCTGGAAATACGCACACAGATCCAATGACATATTCTGCGACGAAATTATAAAATAGCAAAAACACGTTCTACAGGAAACTATGTTTCTGATGCCAAAACGTTAAAGGAATTAATTGCTACTACTACTGTAATCCCACTACATCGTGAATGTCAAATTCGCGATTGTTGAGTCTATCTTTTCATGAAGGAAGGTAGATTAGGTGCCTGGATATCGACAAATAATTGCACTAAAACTGAATAAGCGGAAGTACAAACAGAATTCGCAATGAACATTCTAAAGTGAAGAAATAAAACAATATTTGAAACTTATTTCAAAGTTGAAAGTGATTGGATATAGGATTTGATTTGAATTTTTTCATCAACCTCCTTGTTGTTCTAATATCCAAATACGAGTTGCTGCGTCTATTTTTCTCTTAAATTTCGAAGGTATTTCCATGCTCGGATGACATTCGAATGCCCTTTCCAGAACAGTTTTGAGATTGAAGTTGCTCCAGGACGAGGTTACGCTTCCGTTACTTCGTCATTACGTTCGAGATTTTCTTCCCTGACGAATTCCCGAAGCTCCTCTTCCGGAAGGTCATTATAATTAGAGTTGCACAGATCCTGAATAGCTTTCCTGCTCATGTGGCAAAAATCCTTACCGCCAATTTGACGTAAACTGAATTGAATTATTTTTCAACTATGTAATTCTGTTAATGTGAATTAACATTCCAACTTGGACATTTTTGCAGGACGTGATACTCTGAGCTTCGGCGTTTGCTGGAGATATATAGTACGACCAAAAGACACTCACGAGTGTTGAATTCGCAAATGTTAAAGCCGGTAGCATTCTTGTAATTACGAATTTTGAAACTCGCGAATAGCGAATTCGCGGATGTCGAGGGATTACTGTATTATGAGGAACTAGTCGCTAGTGTTTTAAGTTGTCGTTAGTTGTTGTTGTTGTTGTTGTTGTTGTTTTCACGAATTGTCTTGTCCTGTATACACACCGACAAACATTGTGGAAATCATAGAAGGGAAATCATCAAGAAACTGCTGTGCAAACGTGTTGAAGGTATATGTAATACAACACTTTAATTTCGTTTAAAACAAAAACAGCGTGCTACTTACGCTTCATCCTGCAAAGTTTTCAGGGAAGACTGAGCTGTGAACTGAGGAGCAGGCATCACCAAAGTGGCTCCATGATGAAGAGATGCCAACAACCCATTGCAAAATCCATAACAGTGAAATAGAGGAACTTGCAAACAAATTCGCTGAATATATAAGTTAGTTATTAGTTTAAAATTTCAAATACAAATATTTCTTCATAGCTTAAGAAAGAATCTAACATTATTGAAACTTACACTAGAAGAGTTAAAATTGAACCTTTTCCCAACTAAATATGAATTGTTTATAATGTTATGATGTGACAAAACTGCAGCTTTGGGTTTTCCTGTGGTACCCTACAAAGAAAAACATGTTTGTGAAATGTGACATTGAAAACACTAAAACATTTTAAATATTTCTATACAGTAGTCAAAATATGTAATGTCTTATTGACTGTTCATATTCTTACAGATGTGAATTGAATGTTAGCTGGCTCATCAGGCTGAATACTAGATTGTAGTTCTCTGACTTTATTTACAGTTGATTCAGAAGCAATATTTGAGACGTCAGAAAAACGAAATGCACCGCTGAAATAAAACATGAATGCAGGAAAGTTGAAGGTGTAATTAATGATATTTTTATTATTTTTTCCTTTCTTTCTTGGAACCACATAAAATAATCTTTATATAGGTACCTGCATATGGGTACTGTATCCAGAAGTTTCTGTTAAAAATTGTTTTATTAAATTTGTTTAGAAAAAAAGCTCAGCATTTTTGATGAATCTCTCAAGTGAGGAACATCGCCAGTTGCATATTAGGAGCACTTTAATATTTTCAAGTGTGTATATGTACTATTCATTTTCTCCTTAAATCTACTTAAAATGTATTTTTGTTATAAATTATAATCATGGTATGCAGATGCGTAACAATGAATGCTGAACACTAAACCAAGCCTCTCGGAAATTAACAAAATTCCTGGAATGCTGGAATTACTTTTAACACAAAAGTAACATTTAAACTAATTTTTATTATTTGTTTGTTTATTTATTGTTTTTTGTTTGAAAAACTTTGTCTGCCATGCCATTCTTCATGAAATTTAAACCCTTTTTGAGTGGGCATGCGGGAGGAAATGGGAGCTTTCAGGAATTCTGTATACATATACACAGATTTAGTCAATAAAAAGGTCCACCTCGAATGTATTCTAAACAGTTCAATACATTGAGATGAAATTTTCAAACTGTTGATGGAGTAGGTACTCATCAGTTGTAGTTTTACCCATATTGATACACAATACTTTTTTACCCATATTGATAGGTCTTTAGAAGACAAATTCAACAATATCACATTTGGTGGTATTTGATTAATAATTAAAAACAATTGACTTTCACAACCTGGCATATAGCAGGTTCGGATACTTCCAATGTGAGTGGATTTCTAAACTTTAACACAGCATCTATGGTGTCCTCACACTTTTCACACTAATTATATGTGGTATTGTGTAATTTGTTAAAAAATTCTTTGTATAAAAAAAAGTATAGTGTTCCATTAAAAAACAAAGTTAGTACAATTACTTTAAAATATAAAATGCTATCAAAAAGTTAATTAGTACAACTTATGATTTTTCAATGCTGATTTGTATACACACATAAAAATATTCTATTTTGTGTATGATTAAACAAAAATTAAAATGTAGGTGTACTTACGGATACTTATTATTACTCATAATGATTACAGAAGTTAAACTAGGCACTTTTTCACATCTTAACATTCCTGGTTCATTAGAGTTTAATTCTGGAGCTATGCTCTGCACCATGTTGTAGTAATGTTGAGATTTGAAGTTCTCTGCTGCTACAAGTGCCTTAATTCTTACTTTTTGAAGACAGTACTCAAGTTCAGAAGCTTGGTATGCTGGATTGATTGTAACCTTCACAAAGAAAAATATAATTTTGCTTGAAGGAGTTCATACTCACATGGGTATAATACATTCATTTTTCTATTTAACAAAATAGAAAATGCAATGACTAATGTTGTAAAGAAATTTGTCATTTTTTATAAGAAGTTATAAATTTGAATTAAAACATGACATATACACGAATGTAGACATCAAAGAAGATATAAAAAATAAAGAGAATATTTGGAGAAACAAAAATATCTATATGTAGAAAATGAAAATTCATACTCTTTTCATTTAATAAGAAATATTAAAAATACTCCAGGAAAAATTTATAATAATTAAAATCCTTGTATATTGTTTAATAAAATGTTGGTCAATGCACTTGAATATGGTATTTGAGATACAAAATACAATGTAGGTACTTCTACAAAAGTAATATAAATACAGAATACTTCCATGAAAGAATTGTAGATACAAAAGAGTATTTTAAAATAGTAGACTACTTTTCAAACTACAAAATATAACCAATAGTGAATCAAGAGTTTATCAAATGTTTAAAAAAAGTTGATTATGACATACAATTCATCCAAATGGTTTCATAAGGGAGTTAAAAACGCCAAAATTATATTTTTTCAGCTTAATATCATTAATGGTTCTATGTGCCCAACCCAATAGTTGTCAAGTTTTATGAGCCATCAAAGGCCGTATTAGTAGTAAATTGATGAAGTGATAAATTCTAAAAGAGAGAGCTCTGGATCTTTCTTCGCCAATTCGCTCATTGCTTCTTTTCTTTGTTCTCCACAAACCTAATACATTGCACTTAGGTTCTTACAAAACTAAAGACTTCAATTTTATGATTCCCTTCAACCCTACAAGATATTCAAACATTGCATCATTAATGTTTCTTGTCTATTGGGTGTTTATTAGACGAGCAAATAAAATGTGTCTTTCAAAAGGATCACTTAATGTTAATCTTTGAAAATACTGATTTACACTTGTCACACAACAAAATATGAAAATAGAAAATATGACATCTCTGATTTGTCACCAAAAATACGTCACAATATCAGATTTGTTCTGGTGTCTTCTGTAATTTTGCTAGTTGCACCTCTTTTGAATCTTCCAAAGAAAACCTTTCATCATTGGTAGTAGACACATCTTCACTTCCTTTGTATACAATTCATACAATTTGCAGGGTTTACAAGTTTACCAGGGCTTTCAATATTTCCTTTGAATATCATTACTTCTATGGGAGCCATCTCTTTGAATAAAAAGCTGAATAAATGTGGCACTTATTTCTGTTTATTTATGTGGCCTCTTACTTCTGAACTAAAAAAAATATGATTCTGAAACCTCCTATTGAAATTTCTTTTTACATAATTAAGATCAAAGCAGCAGATGAAAGAGAAAAGAATTTTGTATTTTGAAAATACAAAGTACTCTCAGAAAGTATTTTCAATAAACATACAAAATACACGTTTCAAAATGTATTTTCAATATCAAGTACAAATTTCAAAAGTATTAAAAATACTTGTTTTAAATACAAATATTTTTGATACTGTCCAACTCAAAAATATTGAAAGAACTTAACTTTACAACCAATATGAATTTACAAAAGCCAGTTTTTCTTTAGATCCCTCTTAGCACATTAAGATCAAGCATTGAAATAATAATATTTTTTAAAATAATATTACATATTTATTCAAATATTATACTAGAAAGGATAATAAACTCACTTATAATTTTTTAAAACTAATAGTCAATGTGCAACAAAATGTTGCATATATATAACTTTGCGACAATAGGGTATATCAATTAATCATGGTATGAGATGACTGAAAACAGTTTGAATGAAGATGAACATTGTATTTTTACATTTGTAAATTCTAGTGTTTTTCACGATCTGCATCTCCCTCTCACTTTCGTTTCTTCCATTGTAAGCATGTGCTCTACATCATGATTGATTGATGATTCCGCGCGACTCAACGGCAGAATTCATTAGTCCCGTAAATGTAGTGCACGTTAGTATCACAGGAAGTGTCGGTGATTTTCCCCTGCTGTATCTCGAGATCCGATGCCGACCTACCTATCGGCTTGCGGGAGTTTTCCCCCACCATGTATCTCCAATCATCGCCTCAGCCGGGACCAGTTCTAAGCTCCCGGCTGGTCTCCCGTCATGTGTGGTAGTGTAGTGCAACTAAGTGTATGTGGGTGCAAGTAACGGGTGTTTATATTGTATTTTTCAGTTCTCTATCCTCATTTTTTTTGTCAGTGGTTTCATTATTGCTTTTGCTAATGTCATGAAAAGTGTTTTGTGATAGCAAACAGTTGTATACATAATGAAAATCAGATCTCACATTATTAAGCGAACTTCGCTCTATTCACGCCCAAAATTTGGAGCTTCTCATGAGGAAATATAATTTACGTATTTTTACTTTCTTGCGTACTACCTATGTAGTATAGAGAAAGAACTGTGATATAGCAAATAGCGACGATTTTCCGTCAGAAAAACGCAATTTCTTGGGTCCCTGATAGCGAAAATGTGGATATTTCTTGTTCCTATACCAAGTACAATTCTTCCTCTTACATGTATAGTCAGAATCCAAGTTTTGTAAGTCCAAGTTACTGAAAAATTGGTTTACAGCAAAACGTCCGTCCATTCATCCGTCCGTCCGTTGATCCATGTGACG